TGACATCCCGCCGACGATGAAGGCGAAGGGGCGGAAGCGCCGCGAGCCCCCGCTGGGGTCCTCGGGCTCGTTGGGGTTTCGCGCGCCCCCGCGGGCGAGCCCCGCGCAGAAGTCGAAGACCCCCCCCTCCCCCACCTCCTCCTCGCCGTCGCGCTCCACGCGGAGGAGCACCGTGTGGGCCGGGAGGTGCTCCGTGATCGGGTTCCGCACCACCCGCAGCAGGGAGAGGTAGCCCGACGTCGCGCGGACCTTCATCTTGAAGAGCAGGGCGACGATCATCTTCTCGAAAAGGCGCAGGTGCCGCGGGACGCGAAGCCGGGGGTCGACGGCGATGCAAATGCCCTTTTTGGTCCGCAGGAAGACCTCCAACTTCCCCGCGCGGTTTAGCGGGGAGTCCTGCAGGTGCAGCAGGCACTGGTGAACGACGTCGGGGCGCCACTCCGCCGGGTCCTGCCCATGCCGCGCGTGGTAGCTGCGATGCCGCTCGCTCAGCAGCTCGAAGCCCCGCTCCATGTGGACGCTCTGCAAGGGGCAATGCTCCAGGATGATAATCGCCCGCTGCCATCGTTCTTTCTCTTCCGCACTCCGCGGCAGGCGCGCGGACTTTTGGTGGTACTCCATCCCAGCCCCTTTTCCTCTGTGTGCGTGTGTGTGCGAGCGGTAATGGTACTCCCAGGGTTAAATGGTGGGGGTCGTGTGCGGGAACCCAAGGCGGCCTCTGTTTGCCTTTTTATTGCTCTTACTGCGTGTATTTTTTTCTTATCTACTTTTCATATAAAGTCAGGGAAAGAACGGACAGAAGAATGAAATAACCGCATGCAAGGTAGAATCGCACATCGTAGCCCCCCCCCTTTTTTTATTCTTTACTCGCCGTGCGTTTAAACCGTCTTTAAACATACCGCAAGTTTCCACTTTTATTTGCACTGCACACTTTGTCATTTTGTCAAACACCTTAGATTGAGAGAGATTTAATCCCCCAATCGCTATCCCCAATGAATAATACACACACACACACACACAGACAGACAAACAGAGTGAGTCATTTCCATACGCGAAGGGGCGCTCCCGAGCGAGCGTTTTACTTCTCCTCGACCTGGAATGTCTCCCTTTCGCGGCCTTTAAAGTGGATTGTGATTTCGTTCTTGGGGTCGCCGCGGAGCTTATCGCAGACAAAGCGGACCTCGCAGCGGAAGCCCACGATGGTGAGGGCCCCGGCGATCGCGCCGCAGAGGATGTTGGAGTACCACAACTGCCCCGACAGCGGCCCCGGCGGCAGCTCCACAAACAACGCGAGGGGGTTATCGTAAAAAGTGATGGAAAAGGCGTCCGCGCTGTCCTTCACCGGCGCGACCTCGGCGCTGAGGTTCAAAAACATGCGAAATCCCACCCACGCGACACTTTCCGCGGCCTGGGCGAAGCTCCGGCAGGGGGCCGCGCCGCTCCGCATGCTGAATTCCTCCACGAGCCGCGCCCCGATGCGCTGGCCGACGGCCTCGAGTTGTTGGTTGACCGCCTCGACGTCGTCCGCCTGGGGGAGGTCGTCGATCATCTGCCGGACCAAAGCGCCGTAGCTGATCGCGAGGAACTCCGAACTGATTTTCTCCGCCGCGTTGAAGGCGGCCAGGCCGGTTTGCATCGGCCCCTCCGAGAGATTCGGCGGGCTGGTCATGCTTTATTTAATCTTTTCTTTCTTTCACAAGGAGGCTTGGTGAGGTAGCGCCTACTACCAATCCGGCGCAGCTTAGGATACACCACCCATGTGGGATATAGGGGGGGAGGGGGGAAGAAAGCAGAAAACTATACCGTACCGGTGCGACATCAAAAAACAAGGAATCTGACAACAGTATGGATAGAGAGATCTATCCTATAGATATTTTGGGTGTTTACCATATGTGTTTGCATTGGAATTGTACATCATCAAGTCTGTCTAGACTTCACCCATTCTTGTCATTCGCATCTCTTTTTTTTCTTTTCGTTATGGCTGCGGTTTTCTAACTCGATATCTAGGGATGTGTCCTCATTTTTTTGATTCGTTGCTCTTTTTTTTCTTTTTTCTGTCCTTCTTATTCTTTCCCTCGATTTCCTTCTCGAACTGCTGTCTCGCGGCGAAGGCGCGGTAGTAGGCCTGGATCACCCGCGCCTGCTGGGTCTGCCGCTGCTGGATGGTCGCCTCATGCTCCTGCCGCTGCGCCGCGACGTGGACCTCCCAGTCGTGCTCGTCCTTCTCGACCTTCAGCCACTGGAGCTGCTCGTCGATCGCGACGATTCGGGCGGTATCCTCCTCGGACTCCTTCTCCAGGCGCCGGATATTCGCCCACGCGCCCTGCATCCCGGCGTCGTACTCCGTGATGGCCCCGCCCACGGCGGCCTCCGACTTCGCCTTGACGGAGCGCAGCTGCCCCATCTCGTCCGCGTGCTGCGTTTCGACCGCGCGGAGGGCCTGCGCGAGGGCCCCCGCGGCCTCCTGCGAGGCCGCGAGCTGCTGGGCGAAGTTCCCCCGCAAAAGCGCCTGCTGGTCGCGGCTGATGTCGTGGAAGGCCTCGAACTCGGTGTCGGCCGCGGTCTGGAGCTGAGAAAGCTCCTCCGTGAGGTGCGCGATCTCCTCGTCCAGCTCGGCGACCTCGCGGCGGCGGGACTCCTTGATTTCCTTGTAGGCCTGGTTGAAGGCCTGCACGTCGGCCACGGCGGACTGCTCGCGGTTCACCGCCTCATGCAGGATGTTGTACCGGTGGACGTCCTCGTTCACTGTGAAGGAGTTGCGCAGCCGCATGAGGCGCAAAAGCGCCTGGACGACGTGCCGGATCTGCTCAACGTCCTCGTCGATGACCCCGTTCGCGCACGCGGCCGTGCGCGAGAAGGCCCCTTCCTCCCCCGCTCCTCCTCCTCCTCCCCAAACTAAGCTCCCCTCAGGGGAATTCCCCGCCCGCAGCGTCCCCGTCGACTGCGAGTCCTCGGGATTCCCCGGACCGACGGAGAGGAGCTCGGCGTCGGAGCGCGAGGGGCACCGCTCCCCCATCGCGGGGTCCTCCGACAGGGCGGGGAAGAACTTCCGCAGGGACGCCTTAAACTGCGCCTCGTAGCCCCCCTCGCGCAGGCCATCAATCAGCGCGAGCACCGTCATGCGCTGCGCGCTCAGCTCCTCGGCCTCCACGACGCCGACTTTGCTCGCGCTCTCGTGGAGCTCCCGCTCGAGCGTGCGGAGCTCGTCGACGGTGCGGAAGAGGGGGTTGTGGGTGCAGTCCGCGGGGTCGCCGTAGTGCGTGGCGGCCTGGATAAACGCCGCGGCCTGGCAGAGCTGCGTGGGTTCCGCCTCCTCGGGCGTCTGGGCCTCGAAACGGGTGACCTCGTGCAGGAGGCCATCGCGCAGCCAGAAGCTGAATTCACTCGGAAGGAAGGAAATCAGCTCAAGATCCCGGACGAGGTCCTGGAGGACGAACTCGATCTTATCCGCCTCGCGCCGGGTGATCGGATCCACGTCCATCGCACCCCGTTCGCGGTCCTGGTGACACAAGGGGGCCCTGGGCAAAGACTGACCTCTTTCGCTGTGTGTGCTGGGCTTGAAGCTTCACGCTAAAAAACCGAGAGGAAAGGAGAAAGGTAAAGAAAAAGGTCGTTGGGGTTGTGCTCAACACGCACGGATAGAGGGATTTCAACAAGGAGTCAAACTTGCAACACCACGGTTTCGGTTGTTTTCCATTACAAACGCGTCCTACTCCCCCCTCCCCCCCGGATGATGGTGTTGGGTTAGGTTATATAGCCATATAAGGATAACTATATATATATATATATAAGAATACAAACGCCGACAAAGGACTAATC